TCGAGCAAGTGCGTGTCTGTGGCTATAGTTCGTGGCGGCGTATCGTTGCGGTTAGCGCGAGTGACAATCGTGGTTTGTACCTTTTTGATTTACTGTCGTACTGCTGTGCGTAGCCATCATCGCGTGTGTATACTGCTGTTACTTGCTGTATGGAGGCATCATTACGTGATACTACGTCTACAGCTCTTACTTCTACTACGCGTCAGGTGTGCTGTCCTAAACCACTATCGTAGCTTCATAAGCTATCACACCCCCTGGACCGATTTTCGAAGCTCATGTCTCGGCAGGAAGCGTAACGGCGCCGAAAATGGCGGCGTTGGAACGGCCTCGTCGTGAGCCGAAAACGTACATTTGTACTTCAACGCCGCAGGGCGCGGAGGAGCCGTGCCGAGCACACGGTTTGGGGTGCCACCCGGTGGAGTCGGGGAAGTAGGTTCCCCGGGCCACCCATCCGCTGGCCCCCCGCTGGGAAGCAATGCGCAGGGAGTTTGGATGCAGGGGGTGATGGACAAGATGTAATCGCTGCTGCAGGCATTGCTAGATTGCGGAAGCCAAGCGGGGTCAGGCAGTGCTGGAAGACGCGCCGCATCCTGCGGTGGGATTGCCGGAATCTCGCCGCCAGGCAGCTGCCTATCAGAGCTGCACGCTGCGGCTGGCGTTAGAACAGATGACGCCGCTGGAAGAGAGATCGGGCACGGAAGGCGAACCGGTGCGGGCGTTTGACGTCCCTGCAAATGGTGGGTTTGGTGGGTCCCAGACCATCGACTTTCTCTGTACGATTGGCAGCTCTAGCAGAGGCGCTGCTGGGGTAGCTTAACTGCCCCGGGCACACGGGACGAGGTGTCAGGAGGAGGAGCCTGGAGGATAATCGTTCGGGGCCACAAACATGAGCGACCTGTTGGGACCGACCCAGTGACAAGGCAGCAAAGGGGCGTCGGCATCGGCGGTGGAGTAGCGCGCGGCACAACACACGAGCCTGTTGATCGCGGGAAAGTACTCGCTCCGGGAGAACCGGAGGATTGCACTCATGGCGATTCTGGTGAACGTGGAATTGCCGCAGAGGAGCAAGGGCAAGACCGCGAAATCTGCTGTGCTTTCGAACGAGGGCCAACAACAACGCGATGCTACTGCGGGACGCTTCTTTCTGGTTGAAATTCGTGAGTAATATTGAATGATTTTGCTTGTGACGAATGATACCGAACGTTTCTACAGGGGATTCTCGGTTAAGGCGTTTCCATTTTCTGATTTGGCGTTCGTAGAGTGATGGTTGCTTCGCTTACGATGATACGACCAATGATGATTTTCGAAAGGGGATTCGCGGTTCAGGCCTTTCCAATCTTGAGTGTGGGTGCTTTGTTGAGCAATAGTAGTTCATCTTTTTCGATGGTAAAGCCCAGGCGTGTTATCGCGGGTGCTTCGTGCGACGATGGTAATTCGGCTCCGAAAACCAGCTACTCAATGATGGGGATTCGCGGTACAGGCGCTTCCATTTCATGATGTCCACGGGCGATGAAAGCTTTGTCTGGGGCAGAATAAAAGGGGTACGCGGGACCAGGCGTATCAAAGGAGGGGATGCAGCACAGGCGCTCCCCACAAATGATGAAAATTCACGCACAGAGATAAACCAGTATCTAGCGTGTCGGTTGAACTGAAGGGGTACACAGGACCAGATGTATCAAATGAGGGGATGCAGCACAGGCGCTCCCGACAGCCGATGAAAACTCACGCACAGAGGTAAACCAGTATCTAGCGTGTCGGCTGAAGAGAAGGGGTACACAGGACCAGGTGTATGAGATGAGGGGGTGCAGCACAGGCGGTCCCGGCAGCCGATGAAAACTCGCGCACAGAGGTAAATCAGCATCTAGCGTGTCGGCTGAAGTGAAGGGGTACACAGGACCCGGTGTATCGAAGATTGCAAGACACCGGCGCAGGTGAAAACGTGCAGGTGTCACCATGATGTGGAAATGGGGAGGGGAGGACACTGTTGTAGGTGACATATCCGTTGTTGCTGCATGTAGGTGTGGACCCATGTACCAGACGTATCCACCTTACTGAGGGATTCGCAGTAGCAAGGCGTCTCAACAATCTACATCAGTGTTTGTCTTGTAGAAGGGGAGAAGCCCCACGATGAGAATCACTGTGTTTGTCTTGTCGGAGGAAAGGAAGCCTCAGCAATGATAAGTTGTCGATGCAGTAGATAGTCAGGCGTGTTTTCCGCGAGCGTTGAATGAAGGGGGTATTGTGTGTGGCGTACCACTCGCAGCAAAGAGCGAGGGAGGTTATTGCACGACATGATGGACAGCAGTTTTCTTCGAGTGAGGGAGAGCAGCCATATCGACGCGTGCTGTATGGCGGTTGAGAAATGGAACTTCATTTTTTGTGAGAGTCGAAGAGTTGGGTGTAAGAAGGCTGAAGTTTGAATTCCTGAGAGTCGGAAGTAAGAGTTGTATGCAAGAAGGCTCATCATGCTTGATGTGTTTGACAAAACAGCTGTGCCAGCATGATAGCATACACCATCAACCCCGGGGGCGCCGCGAAGCGCCGGAATCAAGGGGGAGGGAGGAAGTTAGGTGCTCAGATCATCCATATTGATAGTTCTCCGTCGAGCGGTGAGGACAGTAGGAGTAAATTGCAACGGACTGTTATTTGGGCTTTGTGGGAGTAATCAAATCGTGGCAGTGGCTGCAGACTTTTTGGACTTTGTTGGGTATTAGGAAGAAAGTCAGATTGAAACGTGGCGGGAAGGTTACCCGGATCGATTACGTTGTCGGAGTTANCATATTGATAGTTCTCCGTCGAGCGGTGAGGACAGTAGGAGTAAATTGCAACGGACTGTTATTTGGGCTTTGTGGGAGTAATCAAATCGTGGCAGTGGCTGCAGACTTTTTGGACTTTGTTGGGTATTAGGAAGAAAGTCAGATTGAAACGTGGCGGGAAGGTTACCCGGATCGATTACGTTGTCGGAGTTATCCTGTTTGCGTCTTTATGTTCCTTTTTCGTAGCACCATCCTTGGGAGGGAGGGGTTTTGACCCGGTGGCCGGGTTTCCCCTTTGGTTTTTGTTGGTCCGTCGTTTTTGCAGAGAAACCTGACTTGAGGTGGCGGGAGCGCGCATCCCACAGAAGTGGTTAGTTACTTTTGCGTAAAGAACCAGGGAGGGTGTTCGTATGAGGGCGTATGTAGTCGGATCGGTAGACGAGGTGACTGTTTCAGGTGCCCTGCACATGGGTATGCGTTGGGAAGTACGACCAGAGAATGATTGTGCGGAGCCCCCACGCCAGCTGCTGTCAGCTGTCGTGTGCGTGGCACTCCCTGCTCTTTCCCCCCAACCGGGTGAGAGATAACAAGCATCTAAACATCAAGCACCACAGTCTCTACAAAGACAACAAGGGCATACCACTTAGGGTTGACGAATAGTATCTAGCCTTCATCACGTGTGTAACTGCTGTTACTGCGGTATGGAGGCATCATTACGTGATACTATATAGTCTACGTCTATAGCTACGTACTACTTCTAATACGCGTCAGGTGTGCTGTCCTAAACCACTTTCGTAGCTTCATAAGATGTCACACCCCCTGGACCGATTTTCGAAGCTGGATGTCTCGGCACGAAGCAGGAACGGTGCCTAACACGTCGAGAGCCGACAACAGATAGTTGTACTTCAATTCGGCATCCTTTTGTCATGGAGAAATAGAGCGAAAATCGGCCCAGATGGTTATCTAGTGCAACCTACGGACGGCAGCGAGTGGAATATGTGTTCACACGCAATGTTGCTACTGCTGTACATACGAACCCTACGTGGTTTTCACTGTATCAAGTACGTAATGGACACTCATTCAACCCTGTATTGTCTAATGCTGTCCTACATACCTACCAACACTGCGACAACTATCTGTGTCTGCGCCTCTGCACACTCATGCGTTCTGTTGCTGTGTCGGAATAGCATGACGGCCTTTACGATCGACTTTTTATGTATGTCTGCATTTATCTGCAATTGTCGGAGGGCAAACAAAATAATAATAATAATAATAATAATAATAATAACAATAATAATAATAATAATAATAATAGCAAGCTTACGAACGCATATAGGATGCCATCAGGATTGTCATTGGTAAGTTGAAGAGGAGATACTTTTACGATGTAAATGACAGTAGAAATAAGTCCTACATATGTTGTTGTACTTCGTATTGGTTTAATATTCATGTAGAGTATGAGACATTAAGTGAAAGTTTTCTGAGGTACATCTGCAATTGTCGGAAGGCAAAAATAAATAAATAAATAATAATAGAAAGATTGCTGGCGAACTGCGTAGACTAGCCATTACACCCGGCACAAAAAACAACAGACTCCACAAGGGATGCGCGGGAAAGATCAAGAAAGCACATTCTCGTCAAAGCGTGGACGACCCAAACGGAGAGCCCTATTCGTACGTTTGTATGTCCTTTACTTGGGGGTGATTTGTTTTATCTTTTGTATTAAGGACGCGAGAGGGGAGCGGAGGAAGAGTGAGGTCCCGATAAGCTTGAGAGAGCTCGAGAGGTTCCACCGCATAGGTTCCACCGCATAGTAACCGTCATGGTATACCTATGCCCCTATCTGCGTGTTCCCGTTGTTGTCGGCAGATCTACCAGTCCGTATCCAAACACACGAACACCCTCTCTGGTTCGTCACGCAAGTGGCGAATCATCAGTGGGGCATGGATACCCCAGATCTACCTGAAAGACTCAAATCAACAACGGTGCGGGGGAATATCCGGCCATCCGGATCAAAAACCTTCGCGAACCCAAACATAGAAACCGTTGCTATCACGGAGGATCCCAACGGCCGCACTTCCAAGACAAAGACTAAATGGCAGGACAAATTGGACCGGTCATGTGACGCGCCGACCAATGCTTCTTACACGACACATGGCCATAGGTGCCCAGTGCTAAATGCAACACAGAAATCAGAACATTCGAGATGCTCAGTGCTAAGACACAGTAACACAGAAGCCAGGACTACTCCGGGAAGTTCATCAGGGCCTTCCGGTGGTACTCCAGGTTGGTCCTACCAAGGACCTTGGTCAGCGTGTTGGCGTGCTGCTCTTCCGTCGGGACATACTCTGCGGTGATCTTCCCCGACTTGAAGAGCTCGCGGATAAAGTGGTACCGCACGTCGATGTGCTTGCTCCTCACCGAGCTGAAGGGGTTCTGCACCAGGGCAAGAGCTCCCTTCCGCAACTCCCGGGTCTGCTTCCGGGTGCGGCCGGGCTGGAGCACATGGCGCAGCTGGCCGGCGCTCAACGCTCTCCAAAGAAGTTTCTTCCCTTCTGTTCCTGACGGGTAGCGGCTGTCGGCGGGGTCGTACTTCAACTCCTCGAGCGTCTCCGGGTCGCCGCCTTCATTTCCGTCACCATCATTCTCACCGGGGTCGCCTGTCTCGCCGCCGCCATCGTCATCGCTGCCGAGGTCGACGGCCCCGCTGCCGTCACCGTCGTCGTTGATGCCGTCGTGGCTAGATGTGCTGCTGACGGGTTCGCTCCCGCCGCTGCTCTCATCACCAGAGTCGCCGCTGAGTGACTCGCTGCCGCCTCCGTCGTGGTTGGTAGAGACGTCGCTCCGCCACTACTGTCGTTCCTGTTGCTGCTGTAGTCGGCGGGGTCATCGCCACCGCCGAAGTCACCCCCTCCCGAAGAGCGCGACGGGGGACCTCCGCCTTCGTCCCCCTGCATCCCATTTCCGGGTGCCGCAGGCGCCCCCATGCGCACGAGCGGAGTCGCTTGCCCCAGCCCACGAGCGTCGTCTACGTAAAGGTCGGACTCACTCCTCGAGTCTTCTTCCCCCCCTCCACCTTGACGTGACGCGCCCTCATTGCTCTCGCCCTCCCCGCCCTCCTCATCATCTGCGAGAGGCGCTGGCTGCAGGGGGCCGGGCGAAGCAGCGGGCACTTGGCGCCAGGTGAAATTTCGGGTGACGATTACTGTTCCAGCTCAGGTTAGCATGCGAACGCAATCACGGGAGTGGTTGTGGGCTGGTCCAAGGTACCATCCTTTCTGTCCCTTGGGTTGCGACTTTGCCTCTCTTCTTGATTTGAAGACGGCTGGTTTGAGGAACGGGTACGTTGACCCGACCGGCGGCGGTGTGCCG